TCCTACGTAAAATTTTCTCTTTGGTTTTTTGGTTTCTTTTACGTCGTGTCGTATTTTGGCACATTCTGGAACTTCGTGCTTCATGGACGTATTGTGTCGTATTAAACGTATACTTCCTTCAGATTTTTGTTTTCTAATTCTTGCATATACTCTGTGTGAGTAAATGCGTTCCTATTGGTTACGTAAGTAGCGAGTGTTAATCATTTAACAATGTAATTGTTTTTTATAAGTTGTGCCTACATAGACGCCACGCGGCTTCAAACCCCTTGCGAGCGTTCAGCGTCCTGTGCTTGGAGTAATCTCCATTAACAGTATGTCGTAAGTCGCGTCTCATCCCAGCTGCCAAGACGACCGCGGTTGTCAAGAGGCATGCCAGTTGTCAAGAGGATTGCTAGGTAGCATCTCCGCGTACGCACCTCCCACTACGCGCTCCTGTGTCAGTACCCAGTACGCACCTCTTCACAACTGTTTTCATTTTGTCTCCCAAAAAAAGGCCACAAAGAAACGTTTCCCACAACGTAATCTACAGGATGAGACACTCTTGGACATACTATTGACCTTTTTCTGGTTCTTTTCTAATATTACCATTGCCACCTATATTTCAACCCTTGGTGATGGTGGCCATCTTTGTGACGTCACGCTTAAAAGACTTAGATTCATCTATCTTATGAATTCTATTTACGCGTTCTATGTACGCCGTGATTTGCACAAACTGACGAGTTCTTATTTGCATAATTAGTAATTCAATATTCGCTCTCGCAGTAACAACTGTAAGTACTCTTAATAATTCCTTGATATCGACGTTGCGTTGTATTGTTTCTTATGCGTGTAGTGCAACCATTCATTTAACATTTTTCCTTAGTCTACAAGTGCTTTGTACTGTAACCACACCCGCCATGTGACTGCCCCGACTCACCTGATTACCTGTATTTCTTCCGATCCAGCGTTGCCTCGGCTGTTCAGTCCGCAAACTCCCTAAAGGAGGCATGAGAAGGCTAACTCTAGTGCTAACGCTACAATTAAACACATGTTTTTTTTTTTATTTTTGGGTAGTTTTACTGTTCCCTTTGAATGTGCTTCCCGTTATAATTAATCCTTAGCCTACCTTATATCTAAATTTATATGGCCGTTGGGGCCTAGAGTTCATCAGGACTGTGTCCTTTCCAGCCATCACGACCCCGGTTACGTGAGCGGCGGTCGTTGACAGGCTGCTTGGTGGCGTCAACGGGCGCCAACAGCGCTGTTTCGGTCATCGGCGGCAAGATTCCTGGCTGCGTTAATTGCGCATCGGACCGTCGTCAGTTCTGGGATCGCGTTTGGACACTTACAGGTATGGCCCGTGGCGTTCGCTCAGTCAGCGACCCCAGAGGCGGCCCGTGATGTGGCAATGATACATTCGGGCGGCGGCGATGCGGCAATTTTTCCATTGGCGTCCCCCTGTAAACCAAAGCACCTCACCCTCGCTCTCACCTCGGAAGGGCCCTCCTACTCGTCTCCCCTACCGGAATGGCTGAGCTTGCGTCTTGCAGCTACCTTCTCGGCTTCGCGGGTCACGTGGCCCATCCCCGCTTCGTTTTCCGCGATTGACAGGCGCGCGTCACGCGGTTTCTTCCGCCCAATCGCGGCGTCGTTGCAGGTCGCCCGAGTCTCGCCAAATTCTGTTGAAACTCGAACGTCATCCAAGTTCCGAGAAAAGGGTGCAACTGCGTTGCCGGGTTAGGAGATACCGGCGTCCGTATTTCCCCATGAGCAACCGGATGCGGCCGGGCATCAGTTGTGCTGAGACAATAGAGCTGCATGCCTCCGCATCTCCGACGCTCCGAACACGCTTGCAGGTAGCAAAAAACTGCACGTTTCCTGGCATCTTTCGCAGCAACGTTATATTCAATAAAATTTTGAAACACGCGTGGTAACCTGACGCGTGCGACCATCCTATTACAGTCCCTAATTGTGGAGGGAACTGCGATGGAAACGGACCACATGTTCTCAAGTTTCAATTTCACGATACCCTAAAAAAATTGTATCTCTGCAATCATCGGCAAGATTCCCACGCAACAAACGAATGTAAGTATTGACATTCTTCTTTCTATGGAAAGTTTGTTACATTACTAATGCACTTGGTATGAAGTATACTAGGTATTCTGAAGAAAACGCGCACGTTTTCATGAACCCCGAAATATCTACCCTCACTCCTTTTTCAACATTAGTTGAATGAAGAATAAATGATAGAAAAGAGAGTTGTAAGCAATAACTGATAACCAGAAATGTTCGCTCCCGTGTAATGAAACTATTTTGCATCGAAAACAAATTTAAAATATGACATAGGTTATTTTGACAAAAATAATTTTATTTCCCCACTCGTCTCGCAATTAGCGAAACGAGGGCTCAAGAAAATGAGCGCGAACAACCACACCATACATATCTACTAAATATTTAAACGTGCATATTATTCTTATTCAAAATCGATTTGATGTTTTTATCGTTCACTCCTTAAATTTCACACTCTCAATCAAACTGTCAATATATGTCAATACACGTTTATAGACAACACAATTCAAGGAAGGAAATAAGTTTTTTGAAAACACGAATTAAAAGTAACAGTTTAAAAAAATCATTGACATTGAATGAAAATGTTCACAGGATTTTTTATAAATCAAGACGTAACACAAGGTTGCATCTTATCACCGATATTATTTAATATTTATCTTGATTATATGATACACGAAAGGCAATCTACTGTTCCACAAGGCATCTTACTCTCAAATAATATCTCAATTAACACCTGACCAGATAATTCTACACGAGACAGATGATAATTTGCAGAACTCGGTACATAAAGAATGACCTTTGGACGATTTTCAAGAGGAGCAATGAAATATAGGAATCGAGGACGAAGAGACCCAGGTCGTCCAAGAAGAAGATGGAACAGGCATCGCCCTAATCCGTGAAAGAAGAAGAAGAAGAAAAGTAGGAGAATAGTTATTTCCAGCCATCCTATCTCGCGGCGGCGCACTCTTTCACTTTATCATACTTGAAAATAACTATTGTTAACAAATAATTAGTATTGTTAAATTATTAATACTTTGATACTCATATAATAAATAGAGACGTATTTTCATTTGTAAATCCTTGAAACACACATCTTTCTTTAAATTTCTTGCCCGAATAGAGTAAAATACACTTAAAAGCTAACTGTTGTGTATTAAAGTCTTTCGAGTAGTTATGTATGTTTTGTGCATATGGTTAGCCGTTAGTAAAAATTTTGGGACAATGTTTAGATCGTGATGGCAGGCTGTCGCTGTTACCGTACTAGTATATGTAATGCAATGTTTTTTGTTAAATAAGGTGAATTAACACGTACAATTCAGATCTTAAACTTTGTCTATTTAGCTAAATATCTAACACTAATAAAATAGTAGCTCGCCCTTACCTCTACTCTTGCCACTACAAGCAAAAGGAGAGTTCAACAAAACGTGCGCATAGAGTAGCTACATTTATTCTTCTTTAATATTCTTAAAGTAATATTTCCGTTCTACTATTAGAAAACCAAAAAAACAAGAAATTAAAAAAAATGTATTTTAGGATTTGATAGACGGCAGCTGGCACGAGCATAGAGGTAGTAAGGGCACGAGTGTTTGGTAAGTTCGTATAGCTAGCCGAAAACAAAGGAAATAGAAAACTAATAAAGGAAAGTCTGTGCCATTTAGTTTCACCACCGCGTCGGTGGATAAAAATCGTGTTTTCCAGCATTACTTGTAAATCTATAGAAGCATAGTCGGCAAATGGAAAACTTCAGGCCGTTGTGTTGTCCATATATGCATAGAGGAGAGATACAATCCATACAATACATATATCTACTCTATGCATATAAGATGATGTTCTATAACGGATCTTCACGAGAGGAAATTTGTTATCGCTGCGCAACTAACGGGTTGACAAATATAATTGAATGTAACTTTTCTGTGATCTTACGATATGTATGTATAAAACTCTTTATTATATTATATTTTGTATGTATGTTTTTTCATTATAATATAAGATATATTGTAACTAATGCATGATATTTGTTTAATGCCAAGTGTACACTGAGAAAAGTTCGAACCTGTTTTCTCCACGGAATCTTTTGTTATATTCAATGCCAGTAGAGTAATTTCACTTTTCTATTATATAGGCGAATCTTTTGATTTAATCATAATGTCAGTATCACTATCAAAAGTTTTTTTGAACAACACAACAATTTTCATTACAAATGTATAAAAACACTCAAATAAATGCACAGAACTGTTGCAGGCATTTTCAAAGTGTATGTGATGTAAAATTATAATAATTGTTTTCATTTTTTAACTACAGCTCAGCAATCGAAAAAATGTTCCAGGGTTCTAGGCAGCAAAAATTATTTTTTGCTATCTTTTAAAAAGTAACTGCGTTTGAATTTGACGCTGAGAAAATATCCATAATGGGTTTTTTTCTGATAATATAAATAATTATGTTATTTTTCTTTTTCAATCCGATAAAATAGGTAGTATTAAATTGACGAAAAAGATTTTTAAAAATTAAAAACCTTTCTGGTTGTAGAGGGGAGTGGGTGGTGGGATGGCGCTAAGAAATCTTTCAAAATATTAGTTTATGTTTGAATTATAGTGTAACCACTCATATGCCATTTGGTTTAGGGGAAATAATTACCGACTTACGCAGGAGTATGCCTCCCCCCCCCCAATAAAAATGATCCGAAATCCCGCCTCTGATCGTATCACATTCTTGAATATATATTTTATTTCATCGTATGTACTTCACAAAAAGTGAAAGTTAGGTAACGCTGCCGAAGAAGTAGCGATTTTCGACAGAGAAACATACTTTAGACCTACTTTAAATTTGGTTCTGTCGCGTCGTCCCAACAAATCCATGAAGGATAAAGTTCGATATTGGCAAATCATACCTCATCAGTTGCGATTGTATCATCACCAATAAAAGTTTTGCATATTTAAGAACTTAGGAGGCCCATCAGTGATATGAATCAATGAAATTAAATGAAATAGAAGTTGGTAGCATTTATAGGAATACATGATAGAATATGGGTCACATTTCCATGACAACACAAACAATTCTATTAATTTTGTGCTTCACAATGTCTTTATCGATTTGTTAGCTTTATTTTCGTTTTGCGATTCATCAACGGAAGGTAAGTGTCTGGTAATGATTTGTGATGATTCGGAAATGTTTGGAAGGTAGTTTCTCTCAGAGTAAACTGAATATGTTTTCTCCGAGACGTTACGTAACATTGTCGCAATAGACCGGTCACTTGACCTTGAGATTGATTACGAAGGGAAACCTTGCCGGTTCTTCTTCAGTAACAACTGCAAGTCAGTCTTCGTGCAGCGTCGTACCGTGTTGCAAGTTTCCTGTAACTATTTCCCATTCGTTACTATCTGCCTGCTAGAAAATGTCTACAAAAGCTGTATGTGTTCTTGTTGGTGAAACCGTTAAGGGAACTGTGTTCTTTGAACAGAAAGTAAGTACATGTTATTTCACATCAATAAATTAAGTTATAGAAGCTTAACTTCTCTTGCATAATTCGATTATTTTTTGATTACCAAACGATTATTGGTTTCTTATTTCCGTTCTTTTGGTTTGTAGGGACCGAGTGATCCTGTGACTGTGTCTGGTGAAATTTCTGGCCTGGCACAGGGTGATCATGGTTTTCACGTTCACGAATTCGGCGACAACACTAATGGTTTGTTCTTTGCATTGTGTGGTCAATTTGTACTGTGTAATCCCTGTCTTAAAACCTCGCGCGTGTATTTTCAAATTTAAGATTTTCTGTAGCGCATAAATTGATAGTAGCTTGTAAATTATTGGAACATTGCTTTGTATGAAAAGGCCTTGGTGATGTACTTCCGATGCGAATTTATTTCACGTTGTTTTGTCGAATAATATCACGTGATTGATAATAAAACATTTGTTGATTATTTGTTAAAAATAGAAACAGTTGTCAAATGGGCATATTGAAGTGACCCTAAATGAGCATATTGTAATAATTATTTTTCCCGTAATTCTCTGTAATGACCCTTTCCATTATTCAGGTGATTACATAATTTTGGAAAAAGTGCCAAATGTCACGAGTCATAAAGTGACAATCCATTGATAATTATTACGCTGCAAGCATAATCAAGTGTTTCTAGAAATTAATGATACTTCAGTCTCATGAAGGCTGAAGAATTTAATGTTTTAAAGAAAAGTTCAATTTCTGTACTATATTGTTCATTATCTGTATTTTTATTTTTTTCAGTATATTCAATTTTACTATGTTCTATTGTGAATTTTACTGAGTGATGCTAAGATCATATAGGATTAAGTAATAAGATGGAAAATTACATGTCAAAAAATTAAGATTTTGCACAACTAAAAGGGATTGTTATAAAAAAATATTTTTTGAGTAATGAAAGAGAATAATCGCAACATAATCTCAAAGCAATTTCATATAAAATGTCCGTTTAAGATGCATTCATCTAGGATTGGAGAGTGTGTTGGATTGATTAAAGAGATTATATAATGTATTATATTCCAAAAGGATTGAGAGAAAGATAAAAGGTGCGTGAATGAGAGCAATTATTTTTTAGGTTGTACCAGTGCAGGAGCTCATTTCAATCCTCATAAGAAGGAACATGGTGGGCCAAAAGATGCTGATCGTCATGTAGGTGACCTGGGAAATGTTACTGCTGGAGCAGATGGTGTTGCCAAAGTCAGCATTTCTGATAATATTATTTCTTTGTCTGGCGATCACAGCATCATTGGAAGAACATTGGTGGTAGGTTTTCCATATTTTCTAAAATTAATAAAGGAAAGTAGTAGATATGTCATTAATTTACCATATTCAGATTGTTGAAATCCTGTGAGATTTGCTTGGTTATGTGGTAACTGTTATATGAAATTGGTGATAATTATAAATGATTGGTTGTATTGCAACATATGTTTAAAAAATGAAAATGTAATAAAGGGACCATTCCATTACTTTTGCTTCTCCTAGAGACTCTCCACATTCTGTGTCATGGCTTTTGTGCCAATTAGGAAGTTTTATAATTACTATCAGCTTCCTTATATCCATAGGTTTCAATGCAAAATAATTAAGTTCTGGACAAATCAGTATATTTTTCATCACAAGATTGCCAAAATTTATTCAAATTCCAGAAATAGGTTTATAATTAAATATTGGGTTAGATTGTTTTTCATCACAATTATAATTTTGACCAGTCAATTGTAATGTTGCTATGACAATTTCTATGTGAAAGAGCATTGAAAGGTCATTGAAATACATTGTCATAGGTTAAATATAAAACTATTTAAAATTACTTATGGCCTTCATATGTGTGCCTTGAATTTTTAATTGTCTTTCTTTCCCCACCCCCGCTTCTTTCTTCTCCCTTCTCTCGCCCATGAAAGAAGTTAATTTATAATTTTATAATTGTCATTTTTTAGATTCATGCTGATATTGATGATCTGGGAAAAGGCGGTCATGAACTCAGCAAATCGACTGGTAATGCTGGTGCTCGACTTGCTTGTGGAGTAATTGGTATCACAAAAGCTTAAAGTAGTTGTAAGAGAAGTGTGTGGAGAAGTTTTTGTTTGTTGGAGTGCTGTACAGCCTACCAAAGGAAGGCAATATATTAATTAGCTCAACCTGCTGTGAATCAATGAAAATACATTGATGTGGCTAAGTAACCCATTCCAATACAAAATATAAAAAAACTTGTTCTTTCTGTGACAAATATAATTAAGTGATTCATTTATAGTTGTAGTTTTATTGCCTTTTTTTTCACCCATCTCCATTATGAAACGTATCTTTCAGATCTAAGAGATTCAAATGTTAAATGATGAAACCATTGTAAAACAGTCCATAAATTGTTCAGGAAGCAATGTTTACCTGTGCTATATATAATTCATAAATGTAGATGTATTTTACTGCACAGGTTTTATTCCTAGCATATTTAAGTGGAATAACCAGCAATAAACTGGTTGTTATAATAAATGGACCAAATTGTGGTGCGAAATCTAGATTTTCATTTTATTGTTTAAAGTTAACTGTGTTTTCAGAAAATTTAATTCATGTTAAAACAGCCATTTCTTTGTTAAAACTAGTAAATTTAATTTATTTTTCAAGTGTATTAGATTATGCCTAAAGAGTATCATTTGGATTGAATGGTGTGAACAAATGATTTGAGAGCAAACCTGTATCCTTTTCATTAATTATGACTGTAAATGTTTATTTCAAAAGCATTGAGTAAAAGATGAGTAACAGTAACCCACTTTACGAAAAGTAAATAGAGTTACTAATTCACACACATCGAGCAATAATGTTTCGGCCCATTCAATAAATGGTCTAACTAGGTCAAGTCTCAAATACTACAGTGCAGAATGAAACCTGTTTTCAAGTGGTCACCAATGTTTCCAGCATTGAGGTAACTGTAATCAAGGTAAAGGTTACTGGAAGCATAAATCATACAAACTATAATTTAAATAAGGTATTTAGCATAAATTGCAATCTCTTAACTAATATCAAATCATAACATTGACTTCTCACTCATACTATTGGTTTCCAAATTCTCTGTTCTTACCAAATCAAGCAAAAATATTAGATAAAGATTCAGTTTTCATCCTGAAGAAACTTATCAGCATGTATATCAGACAAAAGAGTTTGCGAAGGATCTTAAAAGCATATTTGCACACATTGCATGCTCCACAAGTCATATAGATTCTCACAGAAGGGAAGCATGAATTCACAAATCATGGGAATGCCGTAAAATGAGTGAAGCGAACACTTCTTTCATTAAAAGATTTATTAAAATGTGTTATGTGAAACAAAAATTAATTCCTCGTTTTGTTGAGAATATTCACATGTGTTTTACGAAAAAATTGATTGGTTACACTAAGGTACATGTAACTAGAGGCAATAGCTTAATTGAGCTGACTGAGTTTTTAAAAGCATCTTAATTGTCTTAACTTTCAGGTTCTAAAAATATATGTTAATACCCCAGACAGGTTCTGGTAGAGTAAGAAGAATTCTCGAAGCAATGAGAAAAATCAGTAGGGTAAATGCTCTAATCATTGGCTAATTTAACTACTTGCAATTTTCTCAAGTGTTCACTTAATTTAAGCCAAGGTGTTTCCTCAGACCCTAATTAAATTTTGCCTTAATGTAAAGTGAGCATCAGGCAACACATTAAAAAATGATTGTGTATTTTTTTTAATATACAGATTACTTGCAGAAAGTACTCTAAGTACCAATGGTTGAAGAGGTGTTCCTCGTTTTGAATGATACTCCTTTTCTTGGACATTGTTTTGATCGTTTTTCATTTCGGATAGAAATTTCAAATATAAGTGTTTAAAGAACTATGGTACTTACTGAATTATGGTACATGTGGATTACTCTGTACCTGTTATCAAATGATTTGATTATTTAATATAAATTACAAATTGAAGGAAGATCATCAGAGAAATTAAAATATCGGACAGGAATAGGAAAAGGCCTCTTTTTGTATGAATCAATAACCTATACTTGCAAATTTGGCATAAATCTTTGCAAGGAATGAATCCAGATCAGTGTTGATGCCTGACTTCAGAGTATAACCTTGTAGGAAGAAATATAACATATCTGCATAGGGATCAACTGCCTAATTGCTTGTTTCAACTGAAATGTACTTAATGATGAAAATTACTTGGATTTTTTTTTTCTTTTTTAAGTATTCAAATACTCTGATATCTAGTATATTCAAAACAGGAAATGTAAATCATCTTACTCGGGCTGCTGCAAAATGAGCTCTTTGTGTAACTATTTAAACTTGTCTCCTTTAGGAATATATCTATGAAAGAATTTATCATAATTATTACAAGAATATGCCAATGCACCAATAATTCCCACTGCATATTAAGTGTAAGTCAAGAATTCATTTTCTGTCAAAATATCAGTGCTAAATAAGTATTCTCTAATAATTCTAACATAGTATTTAAATAAATTTTGCCAAATAAAAGGAAGGTAACAAACAAAAACTCCAGGCTGAGGAAGAGGCCTGGATCAGCCACTGTACATGAGCGCATTAGGAAAACATTTTGTAGGCTGGTTTTGATGGCTTTTAGCACTTAAGAAACATCGTTTTGGGTAGAGTAAGGTAAATTTACACTACTCGTTTGCCATAATTCCAAGAAGAAGAAAAAAATTATTATAATGAATAAGCTGCAGATTTTCCAAGTTTTTTCCTTCTGTGGAAAACGCAATCCTTTAGGTTACTTATTTATTTTGATGCATTAGGAGTACATGCGATTTTTATAGTGCCTAAAATGCCTATTTCACTAATAAAATCTATTTTGTGTTTAAATGCCTAATGTTGCCTATTGTATTTACTAAAAAATGCAATTATTCTTAATCAGAAATTGTAAAAATTGCCTGTTTCTTTGTTTTTATCCCGTATAAAGAATAAAGAAAGAAGAGTATAAAGAAATAAAAAGCTATCAATCAATTTATCACAGTGCAGGTATTACGCATTATGAAACACATGGAAAAACATTAGTGGTAGTGGGGTTATTTTTTAGTTCCGATTTTTAATTAATACTTTTACTAAAAAATGGCTCCAAATTTTTTCTTAAAATTGTATCCTTGTATGTATCAAATGACAATATAAAAATTGGTGCTGGACTCATTTTTCAAGATCTCAATTTTCGAAAATTACAAAAGTACAATATTGAATACAGAGATTCTTGACAAATGACATTGTTCTAAAAAAATCAGTTCTTTGAAAGGGTCTTCTATATTTTTTTAATGAGTGTTTTTGTGGTATTTCTGCTTTAAATTTATGCAAATTATTTTACAAAATTCTCAAAAACAGCTCCAAGCATTGACTTCACATTTTTTCTGTGGATAGAACAACAGTTAAAAGTATGTCACAGATTATATCTTAGTTGAACTCTGAATTTTTGAAAATTGCAAATTATCAGATTAAGTAAGGCAATTAAAACAGAGCTTTCATATAACAAATATTTTTTTTACAAAGAAAACAACAAATATTTACAATGAACTTTACACCCCAGCTCTGATAGACCTGCTATCCCCTGTTCGCGGGAACAATCCCAAACTGATTGATGATCGGTTTCAATTGTGGCACTCGCCACTCCTATATCTGAAGCTCGCACAAAGCCAAGCTTCCGTGACCGGATGTCACATCAGGGCACAAAGTCCGTACCGGCGTACCCAACTGATGGTTTGCCTCGATCGCAAGAGAGATGTTACCCGATTGAGAATCGGCTCGAGTCATGGCACTCAACCACTCCTCACCTCGGAGCACGCACACAGCATAGTTCCTGCGTGCTCGCAATCACCCAAGGGCACAAAGTCCTCCATAGGCTCGACAACACGTGACTTGCCTCGCGGCGAGCCCTGCTCGCCGCTGCACCGTCGTGGCGCTAAGTTTTTGTGCAACTGCACGAGGTTCTCCCACTGTCTCCAGAACCCACCCACTGTTGATTTTTTTGGCTTAGCCAAAGGTTTGTGTACTATGTGTTGCAGTGCGCACGCAATTTTGCGTTTTACTGCTATGTGTAAGTGGCTGGTGTGGGTTCGTGTCGGACTTAGTCAATAGCCAAATCGGCTTTTGTGTTGCACTACGCCCTTAGAATATCAGAGTGGAGTGCTTGTCTTCTTTGCCGTATTGTAAGGACGTGTCGAGCTAACTGTTTTAGCGTTGCCGGAGCTTCGTTGGTTTGAAAGGCTTGATAAGCTTCGTTAAACGAAAGTCGTCTCAAGCATTGAGTGAAGGACTCGATATC